GATGTGACCGTTCTTGGATAGTCTGTCCATTTTTTTAAATAATCCCTTTATTAACAACAACATTAAACAACATTACTCCAGCATAATTTGTTTAACATTCATGTCTAAAGACATCCCAGAAATTCCATGGTGCATGGAAGCTCCCAGAGCAATGTATATGCTCAGAAACCAGAACAGCAGTGAACAGCAAGTCCCGGGATCAGATTCCCATGGTGCTATTTGCATGAAAATTGGCATTAAAACCAAGCCCACAAGAATAGGCCATGCCAGGAACACCCAGCAGATTTTTTTTCTGCCTCCAATCGCCTGTGATCTTTCTCTCTCTCTCTCTTTGTCTCTCTCTCTCTCTTTGTCTCTCTCTCTCTCTCTCTCTCACACACACACACACACACACACACATCTCTTTCTGAACACAGACTCACTTCTTTTACACCATATTTATCACATATTCCATGATTCTGTCCTGTCTTCTCCGGAGAGACATCAGTCTGCTGTGAGTGGACCCAATCATTGGATCACACCTGCTCCTAAGCCAGTCAGGTCTGGGCAGATCCTGGGCACTGGTCCTGACTCTGGGTTTCTCAGACACACTTCCAGGTAGTTATCCTTCCTAGTGAAGGAGACTCTACAGCCCAGCCACCTTAGACCCTAGAACCAGTGCCCCCGCTCCCTTGAGTCCACTCTTCTAGCCTTCCACCTTGCTGTGAGGGTTCTGAGCTTCTTGATTAACCCTTTCAGGGACAACATGACAAGCAAGCAAAAAAGCATTAATGAGTTACAGAGTTTTGCAAAATAAGAGTTCTGAGACATACCCCTCCCAAGGCTGCTCTCCCCCTTTCTGTGAGGCCAAGGTCTGGGCAGCATTTCAATGAACACAGACTCACTTCTTTTACACCAAGGTCTGGGCAGCATCTCAGGCCAGGCAGAGGGTTTTCTGTCTTCTCTCTCTCTGGCTGGTTTCTTAGCATATGGCACTGGATAGCTCCCCCTTAGAGAAATCATTCCCCTTGTACCCAGGTTCCAAGGCTTAGAAACTCTAGCCCCTTCCCCTTCTGTGTAGAGGGCTTGTGTTCCATGTGGATGGCTAAGAGTTGAGAGACAGAGTCAATGACTCTAGTCTGTTTTGCGATGGCTTCTTATTCGCAGTCTTTCAGCAAGGCCCTCCCGCACTGCTCCTGGTCGGGGCAGTGTTTGGGATGCGGCATCATAACCTGGCCCTAAACTAGGTCAGACATGGGTCAGCTCCTAAAACAAAAAGGATATTCACCCATATTTCTAACATCCTGGCCTGGCATTCAGAATGCTGAATGTGAAAGTAGGGCTGGATTCTCTGAGGCCAGTCTTCTCTCTCTCTGGCTGGTTTCTTAGCATATGGCACTGGATAGCTCCCCCTTAGAGAAATCATTCCCCTTGTACCCAGGTTCCAAGGCTTAGAAACTCTAGCCCCTTCCCCTTCTGTGTAGAGGACTTGTGTTCCATGTGGATGGCTAAGAGTTGAGAGACAGAGTCAATGACTCTAGTCTGTTTTGCGATGGCTTCTTATTCGCAGTCTTTCAGCAAGGCCCTCCTGCACTGCTCCTGGTCAGGGCAGTGTTTGGGATGCGGCATCATAACCTGGCCCTAAACTAGGTCAGACATGGGTCAGCTCCTAAAACAAAAAGGATATTCACCCATATTTCTAACATCCTGGCCTGGCATTCATAATGCTGACTGTGAAAGTAGGGCTGGATTCTCTGATCTTTGTCATTGTGCCGGATCCCAGTGTGGAATATGGAAGGGCTGTTCCAAGGAACTTTATGTCTCACTCCAGCGCCTGTCAGCAACTGGTAAACATCGTAAGGAATTCTAGTAGAAGCTGTTGGAGACAGTGCTCAGAAAGCACATGCCAGGGGGCGATCATCTTGCATCATTCTCTGAGAAGCTGCATCAATTCAGATCTTGGGCACTTTGTTAATCTCAGGATATTTCAATACTGGTCGTTCAATGGCAACCTTTGTTTAATTCCCCCTATTTTTCTTTTGCCAGCCATTGCTGTGCCAGTCAGTATAGGCTGTGTCTAGACTGGCAAGTTTTTCAGCTTGTCAGCTGTCTACACTGGCTGCTTGATGCTGCTCCCGTTTGGGCAAAAGTCTTTTTCCGAAAGACTTTTGCGCAAAAGGGCCAGTGTAGACAGCACAGTACTGTTTGTGCCAGTGTAGACAGCACAGTACTGTTTTCCGCAAAAAAGCCCCGATGGCTAAAATAGCGATTGGGGCTTTTTTGCGGAAAACCTCGTCTAGATTGGCCATAGACACTTTTCCCCAAAAAGTGCTTTTGCGGAAAAGCATCCTGCCAATCTAGACACGGTTTTTCCGAAAATGCTTTTAACGGAAAACTTTTCCATTAAAAGCATTTGCGGAAAACCATGCCAGTCTAGACGTAGCCTGTTAGTCTCCAAGAGCATTCTGCATGGGGCACTTACTGGTGACAAATGAGGGATCATTTGCTTAGTTAGACTAACACAGCCATGAATCTCCATAACAGTGCTCCTTGATTGTGGGTCTTTTCATGTGCACAATTAGCTCCACCTTTCTTGGGTCCAGTCATTGTTGTTGAGTCCATGTTCTACATAACTGCCCTCCCTCAGCCTGACCTGACATTTGTTCCTGTTTGATTCTGGCATGCTGCAGAGCAGTCTGCAGTCAGCCAGGGAGGTGTAGATTATTTTGTATAATTACTTCCACCCCATCCAAATCCCCAAAGATCTAGGACAGGAGGCATTAGTACAGCTCTGATGCTGGGGCAATCCAAACTGAAGTAGCTTGAGCCGTGGAGTGATGATTTTAAATGGGTTTTCATTTATAGTAATCGATTCACATTCCTTCCCACTGTGTCCTCCCACTGAAAAGACTAATTTTTCACCTTTGTGCAGTCATAATTACTAGTCCATTTCAGCAGGCTGGAAATTGGTGGGGTGGGCTTTTATCTTTTGTCTCAGTGAGAGCAGTGGAAGGCCCTCACTGTCACTGAACATCGTATTACATAGACACTGACATTGTGGGTGCTCCAGGACTGGAACAGCCATGAGAAAAAATGATCAGGTGCTCAGCACCCACCAGCAGCCAAACTCCTCCCTCAGACCCTCCCACCCCCTCTCAGCCTCACAGATCTACTTCTTCCTCTCCCTGCCAGTGCCTCCTGCTGCCACGGAACAGTTAATTTGCAGCATTCAGAG